GAACTTCACAGGTTTGCGACGCCACTTTGATTTTCATTGTTGAACAGGTCAAAGAATTTTCCACACGAAGAAGAGCACAAATTTGTGAAAGGAAATGTGTATGTGTCAACAGTGCTGGAGCAACTAGCTAAACATAACAGCGCTATTAGCTTAGCTATTACTAGGCTAACTATATTACTTTGAAAAATTGTTTATATCCCTGAATAATCCCTTAACCATGGTAAAATCATGGTAACACTGCCTCTCATGGCTTATTTTTTTATTATTCTGAGTGCCCCCTTAATATAGTATCCGTAAAAAGCTAATGCAGTTAGCTACTTTATGTCAGTAACTTGCTATAAGCTAAACTATGAGTTACTGATATATTGACTGTTGTCAACTACTTTAAATTCTGAAATAATTTGAAGTAGCTTCCCAACACTGTGTATATGTGCAGAGCGATTTATATTGGATTATTCATGTGTGTGCACATGAATGTCTCGTGAATGTCTGTGGCTATTATTATATTAGCTTTATGACCCAAGCAATACATGGACACACGTAAACACCTGGTGTGTAGATGCTTTTGTATGCCGTCTCCCACTGCGATGCTCTACGTGGTGCTGTCTGGCTATGACACCTACTGTAACATTATAACATACACACAGATTATCAGCCAATCAACGCATTTCCCAAGTGGGCTCTTCTAATCATCGGTAGACCACTTAAGGACCCACAGCTATCAAATACGCTGGTATGAAGTGTTAGTTAAAACAGTGTCTGAGTGCAGAGGATGAGAGATTGTAGGTGTTTATGGAGTGATTCTGATTGGGACGGATCCCTTCTCTTGACATTTGGTCATCAGAAACTACAGAGGAAGATCCTTTGGGTTTTACACAAACAAACCCACATTTACAAACCAGATTCTCTTCCGGAAATGATTAATAATTTAATTCCTTGCAGTTGTCACAAAGCATGACATGCTATTTACATAAAACAGGTAATATTACACAATGAAAAGCTGAAACAAACTTTTCCAGCTTGATATTTTTTTTCCGTAAGCACCTGATTTGACTTGCTATTTGTTTTTCCCTGGTGGACAACAAATAAGGTGAAAATCTCACATAGACTCACATAAAACCTGAGCCATATCTAAGGATATCAGAATAAAACTTGGTTTTGACTTGGGATAATAAGGACCCAACCAGAAAACCTTATCAACCACCTAGAAATAACTTAGAACACCCTAGCAAACACCTAGCAATATCCTAGCAGTGCCTTAGCAACCACTCAGAACACTTTAGAAACCACATCACATGCACCAGCACCCAAAACACCCTAGCAATCCATCAGAACACCCTAGCAACCTCATAACAGCACCCTAAAAGTTCTACCCAGAACAACCTACAACACCCTACCAACAACATGGGAACACCATAGCAATGCTGTAGCAACTACTCATAAATCCCCATCAATGACCTAGCAACACCCTAACAACAGCTCATAACACCCTAGCAACCCCATAGCAACACTGTAGAAACGCCCTAGCAACCACTCACAACACCCTAGAAACTACATAGGATCACCCTAGAAATTCTGTAACAACCACCTAGCAAGGCCCTAGCAACAAAATAGCAATACCCTAGCAATTCTGTAGCTACCACTCAGAAAACTCTATCAACCACCTAGCAACACCTAGCAATGCCACCCACTCAGAACTAGGGTTGCAAAGGGGCAGAACATTTCTGGTAAATTTCCGGAAACTTTCCAGGATTTTTTGGAAAATTTCAGAAAGTTCCCGGAAATTTACTTGTCATTTTCTGTCCCTTTGCAACCCTACTCAGAACTCTCTAGCAATTCTGTAGCTACCACTCAGAAAACTGTATCAACCAGTTAGCAACGCCCAAGCAGTCACTCAGAAACCCTAGAAATACTGTAGCAACCAACCAGAAAACCAATCACATTGCAAGGCCATCAGAAAACCCCATCAACCACCTAGCAACACCCTGCCAATGACATGGAAACACCATAGCAATTCTGTAGCTACCACCCAGAAAACGATATTAACCACCTAGCAACGCCCAAGCAACCACTCAGAAATTCTGTAGCAACCAACCAGAAAACCAATCACTTTGCAAGGCCCTAGCAACGCCCTAGCTACCACTCAGAACACCTAAACAACCACATAACACAACATAAATTATGTTAGTAACAGACTCGCCCTGGCAACCACTGACATTTATTTTTTCAGCAAACGTAGTATGATGTGCAGTGACAACATAGTTCTTGATGTCATTCCAGCATAGAATGCTATAAGGAATATCTAATATGATGCAATTTTCCCCCCACAACCTCTATGTGTGCAATTACACCTTAATTTTTTCATCAATCTTTGAAAGAAATCAGCAATCAGCATAGAGATTCGATTTGGCAGTAATAGGTGACTCAGTATTGGAGTTAATACAATCGTAGATAGAGAAAGCGAGCACATCAGGAGCATTTTCCTGAAGTTATTGAGAGATGCACAAACTCAGCAGAATTAGCATGTGATACTAGCATCCCGCCTAGCTTTGAGAGCCCTGTGGGTTGGCAGGCAGTGCTACGCAGGTTTAAGAGCGGCTTCAACTAGTATTTGTCGGCTTCCTCAGCACTTTTTTCCTCTACAAAATGAGCAGGAAGAGATTCAAACAGTCAGCAATTCCATTCCAGACTCCATCCATGAACATGGAACTGTCACATCCTCACATCCCTCCAGCAAGCTTCACATAAACACGAGGAGCAGAGGCCATCGGAAGTCATATGGGTCTTGTTTTAGTCCGTGTTCTCAGTCAACTAATGTCTGTGAGTAATGCTGACATTGAGGAGTGACAGAGCAAACTGAAAATAGCTTCTGGGTATAAAATAAGTCAGAGAAGCAAATTCATCTGACCTAAACAGAGCACTGCTACATTTGGTATGACCTCCCAAAAAAATATCCAATGGAATCAAACAAATGGATATCCGAATATCCAATATCCAAACAAATGGAATAAGAAATAGCTTATTTTTTATAAAAAAATATAAAAGTATTAAAGCACATTAAATTTCAAGTCTTACACGATTGTGCTTTCAATAGAGAAATAACTAATTCTACTTTTCTAAATAACTAATACTATTTTTGTAATACTATTATACACTAATATTTAAACTATTAAAATTATAAAAATACAAATATTTGAAAATATTTGAAAAATATATAATATTTGAAAAATATATAATATAATATAATATAATATAATATAATATAATATAATGTAATGTAATGTAATGTAATATAAAAATTATTTAAAAAAAAGCCTACAAATAACAGTATCAACAACAAAAAAATGCTTGGAAAATTTCAGTCTTGTTTTCATGAGCTGATGTATTGATTGTGAGTAGGGTCAGACACGCTGCAGTACATCTGCAGTACACTTTGTCTCTTTCTATTCGCACAGTTCTCCATTAAAATCAGCTGAGCTAATAGCCTGTGAGAGGACTGAAAGTGTCCTTCCTCTTCTTCTCCCGTCCAGCATGAGGGATCCACAGAGCCGTACATCAACTGACGGCAGATAATGGAAGTAATCCAAGTTGATTAGCAGACACCAAAGCCATCACTTCTTTTAACACCCCACTGCAAATGACACGGAGACTAAAAAGATGGTGTAGAGATGGAGTATTTTCTCAAAGAAAAAAAAAAGGGTGAAAAAATATATATAATTTTTATAATAAAGAAAATAGTAAAAAAAAAAAAGCTAAATATTTTATTTTTTAAAAATGTATAATTATTTTCAATTTTAATTTAAATATATACTATTTACTGTTACTATTAATATATATTTTTTCACACAAATACAACATACTCATTTAAAAATTATTATAACACATGTACAAATAAATGTAAATTAATAAATATTAGAAAAAGAGAGAAAGACAGAGAGAGAAATGTAATAATCATAATACAATTCATAATAAATAAAACTATATACATTCCTAAAATATATTTAGTTTTATTCATTTACATCATTTTGTTTGTTTGTTGCTTAGTTGTAAGGCAAAATTACGGTGACCGAGAAGTGCAAAACAAATCACAATTCTGAAAACAAAATAACAAATTACAAACGCAAATGCAAGTCTAAAAAACAAAATAATTCAGAAAACACAACAACAATTCAGAAAACATTATAACAAGTCAGAAAACACAATTACAAATTCGAAAACAAAATAACAAGTCAGAAAACACAACGACAAATCTGAAAACAAATGAACAAGTCAGAAAACACAACGGCAAATCAGACAAACCGGAAGAGGTAGGTATAGTTTGAGACAGCGCCATTGGTTTGGGATTACTCACCGCTGACTGGACGAGACATCTGTTAATCAACGTATACAGGAAGAATCAGCCGAAGAACAGCAGAGTCGTGGTAGAAAGTTCGGAGATGGTATTAAAGTAGCTCAGTTTAAATGTAAATGTTTTCTGAATTGTTGTTGTGCTTTCTGAATTGTTATTTAGTTTTTTAGACTTGCATTTGCGTTTGTAATTTGTTATTTTGTTTTCAGAATTGTGATTTGTTTAGCACTTCTCGGCCACCGTACAAAATAGTGTTACAAATAACTTTAACCATGTAAAATCAAATGGAGCATTACATTGGACAAATAAAAAATAAAATAAAATAAAATAAAATGAAATGAAATTAAATGAAATGGAGATATAGGTGGACGGTTGGATTACAACAAATAAAAGGGAACAGGAAATACAATAGAAATACAGGAGGAAATACAGAGAAGTAGAAATACAGACAATAGAATACAGGGAAGAAGCATGGAGAGAGATAGTTTGCCATGCATGAAGGTCAAGTTGGCAGGACGCTGTATGCAGACTCACTGATACACTGAATATTTTGCCTGCAAGCGTACTTGTTAAATTCACTCCACCTGCTTTTCTATTGCTGACTCTTTCTTTTTGTGTCATCTTCTCATCTCTGCCTCTATCGCTCTCTTAGAACGACTCCTGGGGAAAGCAGTACTCTTACGCCCTATTTAAGGCCATGAGTCACATGTTGTGTATCGGGTACGGAGCCAGAGCGCCCGTCAGCATGTCGGACCTTTGGATCACCATGCTAAGTATGATTGTGGGCGCCACCTGTTACGCCATGTTCGTGGGTCATGCCACAGCCCTCATCCAGTCTCTGGACTCATCTCGACGGCAGTACCAGGAGAAGGTAAGCGCAGCCTCATTGGTTTCATTCACCTGGCTGCTTTGTTTGCAGGTATTCACACGTTATTTTGATATTTACACCACCATGCCTTCGCTGGACATGCATGTGATGGTACAACATCTTGACAGCGTAGTAATCTGTGTCATCATTATGTATCACATTATGAGCTCATTGCTCATCAATCATTCAAGAATGACATCAATATTGATCTCACGTCAAAGAAATTCTACCTCTGCTACATGGGTTGCATGCTTCAGACAACATGTACAGGTTGATCTACATCTACAGGGCTAAAGTTATTGGACATGTTTGGATGAGCGGTATGACCAAAATGAGCCATTTTGTATCATAGCAACTGTATATTACAAAAAGATAATAATAATTGATATAATAATAATTGGAAATTATATTTCATAATTATTTTATTGATAATTATTAATAATTATTTATATTTTTGAATAACCAAGAATATGAATTACTATTAATATTAAATTGTCTTTGTTATAAAAAAAATATTAATACCATTATTTGAAAAATTATGAAAATCTTCTTTTGTATTATTATTGTTATTGCTGTTATTATTCTTGAATAATCAAGAAAATTTATTCTTATTAATTAGAAATAAATATTCGTTATTATTCCAAAATATTATGATTAAGTTGTATTATTATTATTATTATTATTATTGAATAATCAAAGAAAACTGATTCTTATTAGTAATTAATATTCTTTACTATCCCAAAAAAATTTGCTTTATTATTATTAGTATTATTATTATTATTATTATTATTATTATTAACAACAACAACAATAATAATAATATAAACAAGGGAAATTAAACATTATTAATTAGTTATTATTATTATTATTATAGAACTGGGAGGAATGGTTGTAGTAATAATAATAATAATAATAATAATAATACAATTATTAAATAAATGTTAATTTGTCATTCATATTCTTGGTTACAATTATTATTATTATTATTATTATTATTATTATTATTAAGAACTAGGGATAGTAATAATAATAATAATAATAATAATAATAATAATTGTAACCAACAATATTAATTACTAATAAACATTTGATTTATGTTGTGTTTTATTATTTTAATAAATGATAATAAATTGCTTCATACTAAATATTAAAGCATTATTTTACTATAAAATCTTTATTATTATTATTATTATTTTAATCAAGTAAAAGTGTTTACAAAGTCTCGTTTTTAAAGTCTAGCATAAGTTCAATAGTAAACAAACTTCACTTCACATTTGTAGTTTCTCCCACACATTCTGCTCTATTTTTTCTCATATTATATTGTCACTCTCACTTGTAAACATCATACAGCGATAGCAGCAGAGACACATCTACCACGTGTGTAATTCTCACCTGCACAGGTTTCTGATCCAATGCTGTCACTGCTTGACACATTCCTGCAGTTCTCTGACCTCAGCTGTAAAGTTCATTACTAAGCTCAATCGAGGATTGTGATACTTAAGTCATCAACTCAGAGATGCCACTGTATATCGATTTCACTTCCTCTAAACAGCATGCCACTTCCTCCCTGAGAAACCATGAGAGGACGGATTGGCAGATTATCCATATTCTAGCGTCTTGTCTTTGAAGGCTTGTTGTACCGTTAGTGGATCATTATATCCCTGTGCTTTCAAAGAGGATTTATTCCAAGTGAACGACAAAAACTCTCTCTCCGGACCAAAGCATGCACAAGGGGAGCCAGAGCTGCTTTGTCCCATGCATGAGAGAAGGGGGGCTTATCTCATCTGGGCTTTGTTTGGGTAGCAAACCCGACCTCAGTGAGCTGGGTTCACATCACAACACACACACACAACGTCATGCCAGCATGAGCCATCAGGTTCTCTGTTTAATGCAATTACAGTGGATGAGTGGAAAGACGAGATTGAAACAGAGAGAATGGGACTGTGCTCCAGGGAGCTGGCACAGACTAAATGAAAAAGAAAACGTACACAACACTGTCAGAGAAAGATTGTAGCTTTTAGTAAGCGTATCACAGGGCAGTATCCTCAAAAACTGAATATTTGCACCATATTTACAATGAATTTGTACCTTTTAAAACAGTGGTCACCAACCTTTTTAGGCCCAAGATCCCTGACCTCGGCCTTTATGAAAGACAAGATCTACCTATTGAAGAATTGATAGAAAAAGACATCCCAGATTGTACTTCAAATTTGAGGCCTTTTACTTAGTATTTTAATTAGTGATACACCGATCATAGCTGATTCAGAATTCAGATGTTCTTTTCTTTCTTTCTTTTTCGATCGCGATCGACGGGTTGGCGACCACTGTTTTAAAAGGTACTGACCCAGTAAAAAGATGTTGTACCTCTTTTTCTGACCGTGTACCACCAGTGAAAAGTTTGAATACACACTTAGTAAAGAAATATAAAAAATGGGACCTTTTTAATATCTTGACTTTTTTTCTCAAGAGGTTAAATAAAGGTCTTAGGTTTCTCAGATGTTCCTTTAGAAAAAGAGCCCAGTAACTGAGTCTTACTTGTAGAGGTGTTGAAGAGATCTCAACAATGTCTCAAAGATAAGTTCTGAAATCAAGAGTTAGTGAACAAATTAAGACTTTTGCTGAGGCTTCTCCAATGTTTCCTGAAAAAATACCCCTGTAGCTTCACTTAAATCTCTTCAAGAGATTTTAAGAGATCTCAAACTAAACTCAGATTTGACAAATCTGCAAAAGTCTGCAATCAAAATAAACACATTTCTCATTAAATTCTTCCAAGACCAAGATTTGAGCTACCTATACTATCCACGTACATATTATTCAAAAGTTTGGGTTAGTAATTTAATTTAATTTAATTTAATTTAATTTAATACTTTTATTCAGCAAGGATGCATTATGTTTATTAAATATAAAAGTAAAACTTTTACATTGTTACAAGAATATATATAATTTTCAAATACATGCTAAAATATTAACACACCTTCAATAATAAGAAATGTTTTTAGCAGCAAATCAGTATATTAGAATGATTTCTGAAGGATCATGTGACACAGAAGACTGGAGTAATGATGCTGAAAAATTCAGCTTGGACATCACAGAGATAAATTTTATTTACAAATATTTAAAAATAGAAAATAGTTATTTCAAATTGTAATAATATTTCAGTATTTCTGTTTTTACTGTATTTCACTGTACTGTATTCATCAAATAAATGAAGCCTTGGTAAGAGACTTTCAAACACATTAAAAATACCCCCAAACATTTGGTATTGTAGCTTTAAACTTTAAACTCTTACTGTATATCGAAGAATTTCTCTTTTGTTTGCATTTCTATTTCTCCTATGAAATTTAACACCGGAGACAAAGCTGATACTTAAATGAGACACTGACAACTGACAGTTATGAAACAGTTATGAGGAACCCCTGTGCAAAAAAAAAAAATGTATATACAAATAATCTTTGTCGACAAAATCAATTTAATGCATAAGCATAAACTTATGCATTCAAAAAAAAAAAAATGTTTGCATTTCTTTATCAAGTGCACTATAAGCTGCCTTAGGAAATAAAATATCTGCTAAACAACCAACTAAATGTCAACATCCTCTAAATTTATTGTAGTAGCATATACACATTCCGATATACGATATAAATCAATATCCAGAGATATTTTCAGTGTAGCTCATTTGTGATGCTATTACAGGGTTTTAAAATACCATCTAGGAGTTTACTCGCATTCATAAAGTTGCATCAAGAAGAACTTGCATCTTATTACGATTGATTGGTAAAGCCATTTAGCTGAAACCCTTTAGCAGAACAAAGTGTGGGATTTCCAAGCTAATGAGATTCCTTGACTCTGGAAAACATCCATGGCTCATGCATACCATCAATTTCCCTGTCATGGCCGCCATGCACAGGCTTATCTGAGTTGCACACGTAGCCGGTGTCACCTTCACCGTGACAATGACACAGCGGTCTGAAACGGACAAAGGGCTTTGGTGAATTTACATCTCTCTGCCTGTCCCAGCACGGACTCTTATCTCCAATTTAAATATGATTTTTTGACCTTGCGGTGGCCATGTAGCGTTCGACACAAACAAGACACGCGTTCCTCTTCCATTTAGGAACACAAACAAGACACGCGTTCCTCTTCCATTTAGGATCGCAATGTAACCGCTGTGGTTTCATCCCGCCATAATGCCAATTAAAATCTGGCTCCATTGCAAATGGATATTAGATACGGCTCCCCTGCCCAGAGATCTGCAAATGGCATTCATATTGAACGGGCCTTTCAGTGGTCACTGTATATAAACAGCGGAGGTCAAATGACAAAGCCAATGTCACTGGCCCATACTGCCGAGAAGAACAGCATCGCTGAACGCCAGCATGCGGTATGTCTTATTTTGGATACTGGTGTGCTGATGTCCCAACCAGGCTGCTTAACTAGCTTAACTAGCCTTTTACAGAGCAAACTATTTGACAGCTAAAGCTCTGCATGGTAATTAAAGCACTACAGCTAAAATATCAAAACTAACAAAAAAAGAATACATGAAAAAAATCTAGATACTAGTTGAGCACTAACCTCGCTAATTGGGATGCTAAAATCTAATGAAAATCGAATGAACTGCCTTGCTGTGTATTGCTTATAAGATACAACGGAGAAAAATTGTGAATTTTCAGTTATACTGAGTATTTTTATCAATACTATTTACTATTGAGTGAATTACAATATAAAATGAAATTAAGCATATTTAATCACAACTCTCACAGTCTTAGATTTATTATTATTATTATTATTATATTTTTTCTCATTTCTTTTCACTTCCTTACAGTTTGGCCAAACTTAATAAAAATAGTATTAATAATAAATTATTATTGTTGTTGTTGATATTATTATTAAAATACAAAAAAATACAATATTATATTAAACTACAATATTATTATATATATAACAGTTCTAATAATAATTTATTACAATTTTAATAATAACTTAATACTAATATTTATTATTAT